TCTGCTGTACAGTTGACATAGCCTGGGTCCTGCTCCACCATCTTGGTCCTCCTCACTGATGGGAGCTTGCTGCCTCTTCCAGGTTCAGGGAGTCAGCCCACCCTCCGCCTGCTCAGTGTCCCTGGTCCTGCAGCCTCCTGGGGGATTTGACAGGTATCCCAAGGACATATTCTAATGTAGGCAAGAATGATGGGGTTTGGAATTGGAGGAAAAAAAATTTAAAAATGTAAACACTGTAAAGAGAAACACTGGGAAAAGACTGCAAAGGAAACATACTCCCTTTTTTGGAGTGAAGGTCCTCTTTTTAAAGTGTATTCTGGCACAAAATCAAAATATATGCAGTACACTGAAATACATGCACATTTCCTTTTGTTTTCTCTCTATAGAAATGCTGCAAATAAAGAAAAATACCCAATGATCCTGCCAGAAATACTTTTAACTCTAGTTATAACTTCCAGTAGTGATCTGCACTGAAATCTCAAACTGCATTAATAGCTGTGTCTGAGTTCTTCCCTGTTGGACTACAAAACACCTCCCCTCTCCTCCTCTCCATAACCTAATGGAGAGGTATTCTTTACCTCAAACAGGGCTTACAACACTACTTGGGATTTTAGTTCAGCAAAGGCTGTCTGGAACAAGTGTGAAAGTTCAACAAGGTACTTTTGGAATAGCTTGCCTTTAGAGCATGCAGGCAATTATCCTTTGTAGCAGCTCACATTGCAATCTGAACTTTGTAGTCTTGGAATAAAATGGTGTAAGATAAAAGTAATTTACATAAAACCATTCTGCTCAGTTGTGATCTTGTGATAAGAATATTGATGAAACATTGTGCTCTCTCCTCAGCTAACCCCTTTTGCTATCTTCATGAACTCTTTGCAAACCTCATCTTTGCCCATACAGGCCGTATAATGGATCTAAATTCGATAATATAAGATCTTTCATTTTGATCCATTTTCTTTCCCAGGCTATATTTCAGTTTCTTCTGCTGTCCCAATGGGCTGAAGGCAGAGAAAAATGCGCTCTTGCCACTGGTACAGAAATGTAATACATTGTGTCCTGTATTAATACATTCTGTGATCTGTATAGATCCCCTGCATAATCAGAGCACAACAGATTTTTCTTTTGACATGGATGTCACTTTTTTTACATCCGTGCCCACTCAGGGTTTTTTTTTTTTTTTTTCTTTTTTTTTTTTTTTTTTTTTCTGCATTTTGGGATTTTTGCAGTTCTATGCTGGATCTGTGGATGGCCAGATACAAACAGACTTGCATCTGTTTTCATCAGGCTACCTGATTTCAGGCTACCAATTTTTCAGATTGGAAAAATCAAAGAGAGAAGTCCTGTTCCTGGACAGACTTTGGAGGTAAGTGGATGTCGACAGATGCATGTTCATCTACATCCTCCTGGCAATAGACTTACATGGAACTTCCAGTCAGGTCTGCCTAATAACTGCCAGGCAGACCGAATCAGAAAGCCTCTGTAAAAGGACTATAAAGGAGGCCTGGAAAACATTAAAACTAAACAGATTCTACTCCTTCCTCATGGTTTTCAAAACTAAAAAGAGGTTTTTGGCTTGAGGAGCACTTTAAGCTCTTTGTGTATATAGGGGGTTGCCATAACACAAGGGGAATAAAAATTCATTTTTCCCATTTAAAGGATAGAAAATACACTTCTGATTGGCAGCTAAGAACCACCAATTCTTTTTTTTTTTAATCACCAAGATATTGTAAAGATAGATGGATAGATACTGGTATACTACAGTAAGGGAACAATCTTAAACAACTGTCTGAAAGTCTGTGTTCCATGAGAAAAAAAAGTTTCTAAAGCTTCTACAGTGTCCTAACCCCAGCCCCCCCCCCCCCCCCCCATTCTGACCGTACTGTACCTCCTGCCAAGAAATATCACAAAAAGAGAGTTCAGTGCTGTTATTTTTAGCTGTGGAATTTCCTCTTGTGAGCTCAGTGTGCCGCTGGTGATAAACTTCTTCTGCAATAGAATGCACAATCTGACTATAGCATTAGGAAAGAACCATTGTCCATAGGCATTAATATCAGCTTTGGGAACTGAACTTTTCATATGCTCTGTCTCCGCTCCTCTTTTGTTTTTTGTTTTTTTTTTTTCACTTATGTATCTGTCTGTGTTATGTTTATTCCAGAAGGGTCTTACACCATTTAATGAAAGCTACGATTTTTTTCGCTTTTGTGCTAGTATATCTATTATTTTGCAAATTGCTCTTTAAAGGGCACATATCTCTTTTCTAAACTCCTGGTGGAAGAGACGTCTAATTCATATAGAAGCTGGTATTGCTCTCTTGTCCTTCTCAAATTCTAGTCTCCTGGTTGTCGTGTTGACCTCCTTGCATTAATACTTTCTAGTGACCAGCCTGGAACAAGTATGCACATAATAACTTCTTATTTTACCCTGGATCATTGACATATTGGATCTGGGTTAGTGATTCAAGAAGTACTGAAGCTAGACCATCAGTAGATAGCAAATGCCATTTATTTTCAGGAGGCGGTTGACAACTTTTGACTATCTCTGATGACATGTTTGCTTTAAACTGTCTAGGAGCCACTCAACCATTTGCTTTTGCATGACAATTTAGGGCTTGATTTGGCCCCCTTCAAGGCAGCGTCTTATGTCTAGTTTCATTTCAGACCTTTGCAATTCAACATTCTGACATCATTAGACAAGCAGGCTTGGTCTCTGGATAACCCCATTTGCCTGTCCAGCAAGACCAGGCTTGCCCTGACATGGTGGATCTCCACTCCAGTGATAGAATTGGGGAAATTCTTTTTCCAGATGGTTTTTAAAGTGCTCATGATGGATGCCAGCCTGTCAGGCTTGGGAGGAGACCTGGACACTTTGTTAGAAAAAGGGACTTAATCATCAGAGGAAGCTCAGCTGCTGATCAGTATTCAGAAGCTCTGGGAAATTCAGTTGGCTATCCATTGCTGGACTTGTTGCCTGTGAGGTCACACAATCAGACAACCTCATGGTCATGGATTACAATCACGGGTGCACCTAAGGCCATGCAGCGCTAAGAAAAGTGGATCTAAGTCAAGCCTGGGGAGAAATTCCATGTTCCTGCTTTGACTGCTTAGAAAATTACAGTAGTGGTGAATTTAGATATGGACATCCCCAGTCATCAGTGTCTGAACTCTGAAGAATTGTCCCTCTACCTGGAGGTGTTTAGAGCTCTTTGTTGCAGTTTAACCTGATCTATGGCTTTCTGCCACTGACACTGCTCCCTTGCTTCACCTTGTGGGATTGAGATGGAGGGCATTCCGGTGATCCTCGTTTATTTTAGATTGGCTTAGGAGGCCTTGGTACTTAGGCTTCTGGCAGACTCTCCACGGACCTTCCCGGATCATCCAGATCATCTATTTCCAAGGACCTGTTTTCCATCCTGCTCCCCAGTTGTCTTTAACAGCTTGACTGTTAAAGTCCAACTCTTGACGAACAGGTGCCTACCAGACTCTGTCATCCCCATGCAAGAAGTCCATTTCTCAGCCTTCAAAAGCAAAGTCTGTCATCACAACTGAAACACCTACTTCTTCTGGTGCAAAGCCAGGGACTTGCATCCCAGAATGTTCTCTGTGATGAGTTCTGTCTTTCTTCCAATCAGGTCTTGACTTTCAGCTAGACTTGGGTACCTTCAAAGGTCAGGATTCAACCTTAGCCATTTTTCCTTTTCAAAGACCACTTGCTTCTAACTACTTGGTGATGGCATTCATGCAAGGTGTTGCACACATTGCTACCCCTAGTGTCCTCAAGTGGCTCTGTGGAATTTCAGCATGGTTATTTTGCCTTTACAAAAACAGCCTGTTTCCCCTGTCCATAAAAATCATAGGGAAATGTCTCTCAACTTGTTCAATTGGTTTGCTAGGGATGCACCGATAGATCAGCCGAAAATAGTGTTATTGGCAAAAGAACGATCGGAAAAAAGGTGTCGATAATGGTGTCGATACATGCAAAGCCACGGCTCATAGACTTTTCATGCTAAAATGCCCTCTAGTGACTTCAGTGAAAAATTGGGTCTCATAGGTTTGCATGCAGTCGCGTCCTCATTGACTTCAATGCAAAATTGCGTCTCATAGACTCTAATGCAAAGTCATATCCCCATTAACTTTAATGTAAAAAAACGCCCACTAATGACAGATGCAAAATCGCGTCCCATAGACTTTCATAAACCATTACAACCCATTAACTTTCATATACAATTGCATCCCCATTGACTTCAATGCAACAACGTCCCCTAGTGCATTCAATGCAAAATCATGTCCCATAATTGCCAGCCACATTTAATTACATTTCAAAATGTAAAAACTGTCCGTTTCAGTTTTTGGCCAAGTGCATCTTGCATTTTTTGGTTTCAGCACCAGAATTTTAATTTCGGTGCACTACTAGTTTGCCACAGTCAAACTCTTTGTCATTCCTGAAGCATAGGAAAAACTTGCGGGGGAAGGGGAGAGAAGGGAAGAAAAGGTATTACATTGTGTTTAATGATAACACTTAGGCAGTATGTTAGAGTAGGTTATTTTTTAGCCTTCCCGTCTACGTTACGGTCAACACTGAAGTGTTAAGGTCCAAAATGAGTTAGGACTAAAGAGTGAATGCGAAATCAAGGTAATGGACTTAAATATATGGTAGACCACCGTATTGTAAAAAGGTAGCCTTCAAACATATTTTTATTTTTTTTTAAATATTTTGACTACTGGATTCAACTTGTATCAGTCTGTGTACACATTCCCCATCTAAATAACCATGTTTTTCTAGGATTATTGCTGCATAGCTCATTTATACATTGGATATTTTATATTGCATAACATTTTGGACTTTGTATAGTGACACGAATATGGGTTGTTTTAATTGTAGCGTCATCATGATAATTTTATAATAAAAGTGCAAAGTGCTCCTGGCCACTCATGATGACTCCTTTTTCCCCTTCACAATTCTTGCCTTTGTTCATCCTTGCATTATTCTGTTCTTTGTTTTCAGTTTTTCTGTCTGAAGAGAAAGCCAATTCTATTCTAAAGCGCTTCCCCAGAGCTAATGGGTTCCTCGAAGAGATCAAGCAAGGCAACATTGAGCGGGAGTGCAAAGAAGAATTGTGCAGCTATGAAGAGGCGAGGGAAGCCTTCGAGAATGACGAGAAGACTGTAAGTATCATTCTGAGACTTGCAAGGCTCATAACTGGAGCAGTGACTAAATGGCCAGCTAAAATCACATTTGAGAAAAACAATATTTATATAAAATGGCTCTGCTTTCATTTACTTCTGCTTTCTGACATGATTAACCAAACTGATATTTCAGAAATAAGTATGCACTGGTGGGTTGAAATGCCTAACATCCTTATGTATCTCTTGGAGAGTGGCATGATTTGCCCCTACATGAGACTCAGAGGTTTTCAACAAGGCTAGGGATTTTTCTTTTTCAGTAGTGTAACTGCAGTTTACAAATGTATTTGGATTCTCATCCTGATGTGCTAGATGTGTGAATTAAGTCTATTACTTTCCCACAATGACAGAATGACGTTACTGTGGCACTAAGAATTATTATTATACAGGATTTATATAGCGCCAACAGTTTGCTCAGGGCTTTACAATATAACGGGAGACAATACAGTTCAATACAAGAGGGATAGGAGGGCCTGATCCTTGGAGCTTACAATCTAGGAGTTCTATGGATACCTTGCCAGTTCCAGAAAAAAATATAAAACTGGCAGATTGCATTGGCCACTGATTCAGGGACATTCATTGTGAGATATCTATGCTGAAGCTCTCAGTTCTGCCTATAAAAGACCTCGGTCTATGATTAATTATATTTAGTAGTTTGCAGGGATAGTAAAAAGTGAGATTCCATGACAGTGGTGTGTGTCGCTGGCAGAGAGGGACCACATCTAGATTTTCTCAGACATATTAAGATGCGATAATTATTACTGAACACTATAGCTGGCTGTCTTCCTATAAGCTAGATTCAAATTACAGGGGCCATTTTTAAGCCTTTTTTACAGTAAAAAAAAAAATGTGCATTGTAAGTTGGTCTTGCAGGATTCCGTGCCTTCCCAGGCCCATAAAGGCACGTTTTATCAGTTGAATGCTGATTGCACTGCTATCTGTGGTGTACCTTAGGAGAGAAGTATTCTGTGTAAACCGACGTATGTGAAGAAATCCTTTACAGTTCCCTTATGCTGCAAGCTCATTTTTTATTATTATTATTATTATTATTATTATACAGTATTTATAAAGCGCCAATAGTTCGCTCAGCGCCGTACATTACAAAGGGGGACAGAACGTGTGACAGAACAATACCAATACAATGCAAAACATGAGGGAATTGAGGGCCCTGCTCTTTGGAGCTTACAATCTAGGAGGGAGGGGATAGTGGTACAGGAGGAGATAGCTGTGGGGGATGGAGTGGTAGGAAGAGTGGAGGAGGTCGGTCAAGTTAGCAGGGGGTGGGGTAGGCTTCCCTGAAGAGGTGGGTTTTCAGGGTGCGCCTAAAGGAGAGGAGAGTAGGTGATAATCTGATGGGTTGGGGCAGGGAGTTCCAGAGGATGGGTGACACCCTGGAGAAGTCCTAGAGGCGGGCATGGGAGGAGGAGACCAGGGAACTAGAGAGAAGGAGGTCTTGTGAGGAGCGGAGTGTGCGTGCTGGGCGGTACTTGGATATTAGGTCAGTGATGTAGTTCGGGGCAGTATGGTGGACGGCTTTGTACGTCAATGTTAGGATTTTGAATTTGATCCGTTGCGCAATCGGAAGCAAGTGGAGGGATTGGCAGAGGGGGGTGGCGGAAACGGAGCGGTTGGAAAGGTGAATGAGTCTGGCAGCCGTATTCAGGATGGACTGAAGCGGGGATAGCCAGCGGCGAGGCAGGCCAGTGAGGAGGGAGTTGCAGTAGTCGAGTCGTGATATGATGAGAGAGTGGATGAGCTGTTTAGTGGTTTCTGGGGTTAGGAACGTGCGGATTTTGGTGATGTTGTGGAGGTGGAGTCTGCACGAGTTTGTTAAAGATTGGACTTGTGGCTGGAAGGATAGGTTGGAGTCCAGAATGACACCAAGTACTCTGGCCTGCAGGGCGGGTTTGATATTGGCGTTGTTGGATGTGATGGAGAAGTCAATGGGGGGTGGGGTCCGGGCTGGGGGGAAGACAAGAAACTCAGTTTTGGAGAGGTTCAGTTTAAGGAAGTGGAGCGACATCCAATCTGATATGTCGCTCAGTAGGTGTGTGATTCGGGCAGAGACCGAGGGGGTGAGGTGGGGGGTTGAGAGATAGATTTGTGTGTCGTCGGCATAGAGGTGGTAGTTGAAGCCGTGAGAGTATATGAGTTGGCCAAGGGAGGAGGTGTAGATGGAGAAGAGAAGGGACCCAAGGACAGAGCCTTGAGGGACCCCAACAGAGAGGGGGAGGTGGTAGCATTATAGGAAACGCTGAAAGAGCTCATAGAGCTCATGTGTCAAACACAAGGCCCGCAGACCGGATCCAGCCCAACAGACCATGTGGCACTGCAGCCCCCCCCCCCGCCTCCGTCTCCACCCCACCTTGTCTCAACCATCAGAAGCAGAGAGGATGACGGAACTCCAACACCAGATCCTGCACTTCTTCATGCAGCCATGGAGATACTAATGTTGGCAGCAACAGCGGCGTATTTACCATTTAGGTAAACAAGGTGTTTGTCTGGGGCGGGGGGCGAGCCTCGCCACCCTTTCGGAAGAAGTTACTCAAGTGGCCAGGATGGGGAGCTGGCGAGGCCCGATTTTAGTGTTGCCTAGGGCAGCACAAGGGATATATGCACCACCGACCAGCAGTAGGTAGCATAGAGGACAGAATTCCACCTATAGATCCTGAGCCTCTCTGTTCAGCCACAGCACCCCCTCATCTCTGCCTACCCTGGTCTCAACATTCAGCAGTCTCCTGGCAGTTGACTCCAGCCCTCCTCTGGTTCTTCTCCAGACCCAGTGGTTTCTGCTTCCCAGCTTCTTCCCGGCAGTAGTACAAAGTAAGGGGGTGCACTGTGATGTAAGGGAAGGGTGGGGGACACTTGACAGCTGATGTCAGGTGGATGGGAATCTCTGGACATCTAGTTTTACAGATATAACCAGCCCTTTGAGGGCAACCATAATACTGATGCGGCCCCCGATAAAATTCAGTTTGACATCCCTGCCATAGACTTTTTTTCAATTTACAAGTATTTATTTAAAGATCAATACCAGCTCTACCTCTACCCCCATGTTGTTGTATTTTTGTTTTGTTTTTTTGTTTTTTTTGTTTTTTTTTTTTTTTACATTGTTTCAGATGTCTTCTGGCTGGTCATGTGATGCTCAGTGTGCTCTTCTTCCTATCTTCTTATTCAGCGATGGGTGATCCTCAGTGATGAAGGGAGCTTTATTGATATAAATATTTTTGTTCCTAATCACTGTATTGTGAGCCCAGGGTGGATTGATGTTCCTTTAAACGACATGTCCTTGATGCCCTGTGCTCACAGGAAGAAGTTTGGATGTTTAGATTTGTATTGTGAGTGGGCTTTATTATTATTATTATTATTATTAAGGTTAATCAATCACTTTTTTTACATGCAAGTATCCTGGGTAACCATTAAAAGGTATTGTAATGCGATCCTTTGGCTTTTTGCTAATTTTTTTTTCTTAATTGTAGATATTTTATCTTGAGGAATAATAAGGTATTTTGAACAATTCGAAAAAAGGAAAACTTTTCCTTTAGTTTGGGGGGAAATTCTACTCACTCATTGATGGGGACATTCCCCCAAATATAAAATAAAATTTTTTAAATTGGACTTTTATTTTAATTAATTTATTCAGAGTAATGGGTAATGTACTTAAACTAGTTCACTTGAATGCAATGGTTTAGGTAGACAAATGGACACTTTTTTGCCGTATTGCTGTTCTCAGCACTGTATGAGGAAAGTGAATGCAAGATGATTTAGTGTAAATAAATCTCTGGAAAACATAATCCCGGTTATTTGAGCACACACAGTGTATGGAAGAATAGAAGGCAGTCCCATCAGCTAGAGTATAGAATTTCCTTCTGGAACATACAGTACATATGGGTGAGTGCTATAGATCACACATTTATTTGGACTTTCCTGTCCCTGCCTTCCTCTAACACTTTGTATACAAAGCCTTTTTATTAGGTATACTTTTCTCTACACAATAAACACAATGCTAATCAAAGTTAAAGGAATGTTCCATTGTTCGTGAATATAAACCATTTCAGCAAGTTATATTACTTCATTTTGCCAGAGCACCACCTTGTGGTTGTCATAAGGCTCTAAAAGACTTTAACACATTATTTTCCAATGGATGCTGTCCTATTTCTCACTTTGATTACTTAATCCTTTGCAAATATTAAAGAGGTATTAAACCCCAAAACAAAAATATAATATCATGCAGCTTACTAATTATTAGATGTGGTGGCTGCATTCATTTTCTTTTGTTAGGCTTTATTTCCTTTTTTTTTTTTTTTTTTTTTACTGGTGATTCCAGCCACTTTTATGTCATAGGAGTGATTCCAGCCACTTTATATTGCTTTTCCAAAGTCTGGACGTGTTAGATCAGTGGTTCTCAACCTTCCTAATGCCGCGACCCTTTAATACAGTTCCTCATGTTGTGGTGACCCCCAACCATAAAATTATTTTTGTTGCTACTTCATAACTGTAATTTTGCAGTGGGAGGAGTAGTGCCACATCATTGGTGTCAGTGGGAGGAATAGTGCCCCAGCATTGGTATCAGTGGGAGGAATGGTGCCCCATCATTGGTGTCAGTGGGAGGAATAGTGCCCCATCATTGGTGTCAGTAGGGGGGGGGGGGGGGGGGAATAGTGCCCCATCGTTGGTGTCAGTGGGGGGGAAATAGTGCCCCATTTATTGGTATTAGTGACACCAGTTATGAGGCACTGTTCCTCCCACTGACACCAATGATACTTACCTTGCTGATACTTACCTTGCTGACCCCTGCTCCGGACTGGGCTCGCTCCCTCCCTCTCCCATCTGCAGCCAGCATACCTGGCTGCAGCAGCACCATCTGCACAGTACAGACACTTACCGGTCAGCTGTCTTCCTTCTCCGGCTGCTCTCCTCTTCACTCGCTCCCGCAGCTCCCTCATTCAATCTTCTTTGATCTTCACACTGCTGATCAGCTTCTCCTCTCCAAGCTCCACCTCCTCGCCGATGATTGGCCACCTGTGTGCCTCTTCTGAGCTACAGGAGGCAGAGCTGTTGAGTGAACCCCGGGGTGTGACCAGATGACAGGGGCGGCATGTCATCCCACTCACACATTGCGGTCCAGGTAAATGTGGGCGTATCTGCATGTGGGCGGACCCGTCTGGAGACGGATAGAGGAGCGGTGTCTCAGTTTCTAAGACCATCAGAAATGTGTTTTCCGATGGTCTTAGGTGACCCCTGTGAAAGGGGTCGTGACCCCAAGGTTGAGAACCGCTGTGTTAGATGAACTAGTAGATTTAGAGGTACATTAAATTTAAACCCTATCTTCAGCTAATACTTTTTAGCTACAGAAACCGTTTTTTTTTTTTTTTTTTTTTTTTTTTTTTTCCCTTTTGGGATAACTGTTTTACATAAATGAATACAATCTGACCATTGTAAGCACCTCTGTCAGTGTTAAAGCCTAATTCTATGTTTTATTGAACTTTAAATAGTTTGTTTGGATCAAGCTGGTCCAAACCATTTCCTTCCCTAACCCCTGCAGCGACTGTCAGCGCTGTATACTCTATGTAGCCGAGGCTACATACATTTTATAAAACACTGTGTTCCAGCAATGGGATGGGGACTTCATGTCCTTCCCCCGGAACAAAACCAAGTTAGACTGAGCTCTGCTCAGCCATTCACATGATGCTTTGTATTTTCTGAAGGAATAAAAGGCTTCCTCTGGCTGAGGCAGGCAGATGACATCATGGTCTCTGCCTCAACCAGTCAGACAATGCTTTGAGCTTGTCAGAACTTCTGGCTCTGGCAGGCCCCTTCTATCCAGTGCTACCACCTCTTTAAGGCACTCCCTGCCTCAGTTGCATGCTCACCTCTTCCACATACAATGCAGGATTAATAGCCCTGCACTGTATGTGTTGAGGCCGAGCGACATCCTTCAGCCTGGAGCTTCGAGCAGAAAGAAAAGAACCCAAGAGCCTGTTAGACCAAGAGATAGGGTAAGTTATACAGCTTATCCCTGCATCACTAGGCTAAACAAATACTTAAAGTGATCTTAAAAAAAACCACCTGAGCCTTTGTGTAATTTTGTTTTTTTTTTTTTTTTAAATGTAATACCTTTTTAGCTTTGTGCAATGGTTTTACAGAGTAGCCCCAATCCTCTTCTTGGGTCCCCTGCCAGTGCTTCTGGCCCCTGCTTCCTGCTAAGTACCCCGCCCTGTGTGTGCATAAGGGGGAGCAACACACAGAAGGGTTTTTTTTTTTTTTTACCTTCATGCATAGAATGAAGAAAAAAACCTTCAGCCTTTACAACCACTTTAAGTGGAATTCTGGGCTTAAACGCTCCCCCCAACTACTCCCTCCTAACACCTATGCTTACAAACCTGTGTAAGAAAGATTTGTACACTGACCTGTTTTCAGTCCGGTCTGGTCATGCTCTGACAACGGCTAGTAACACCTGGAGTGGTGACATTACTCATAGGTTTCAATCGTCCATCCGTGGTGAGTGTTCCCTCCTCTCCCCTGAAGCCATGCTGGCTGACACAGGGGAGCTGGATCAGATGACCAGACTGAAGCTGCCTGAAAATAGGTACATATCCAGATGTTTGTGTTAGGAGGGGGTATATGGAACAGTTTTAAGAGTAGTTTAGGGTTAAGCTGGGAATCCAACTTTTCCTGCTTACAGTGCATATGGACCCCACTACAAGAGTAGATTTTGTCTCATTCCTGGAGTTCAGTTTTAAGTCACCATTGCCATTTTGTGGAACTGGAGGAGAAAGTTTGCTAATCAGCTGACAGTCAGAGTGAAGGGGTAGGAGCTCTCTCTGTTCTGCGAGGAGACCCCATGTCAGGAGAGGCATCACTGGAGGTACGTGAAGGAAGCCAGATGCAGGTAGAGACACACTGAGCAAGGAGACTGACTGACACTGTTCCCATCCCCTCCACCACTGCTGCCTCTGACTGATTCCATCTCCCCCATCAGGCAGTGGTGATGGGGGGATAGGGATGACATTAGGGGCAGTGTTGATGGGGGAATAGGGATGACATCAGTGGTGATGAGGGGGGGGGGAGATAGGGATGACAGTAGTGATGACTTCGGTGGCAGTGCTGATTGGGGGGGGCGGGATGATGACAACAGTGGCAGTGATGGTGGGCAATAGGGTTGACAATGGTGGCAGTGGTGGGGGGGATAGGAATGACCTCGGTGATGGGGATAGAGATATCATTGGTTTCAGAGGTAGGGATAGGGATGAGCTGCTAATGATTGCCTTACCCATCCCCCAGTTAATTTTGATGCTTGAATTCTTTTTCCCATTATGGGTGTGAGTGGGGCTTCATGTCTAAGTTTTACCTAAGGCCTCCAAAGCCTAAAGCCACCTCTGCCTCTACATGTCTGGAAATATTGTATTCAATAAATAGTACTGCATAATAAATGAACATTTCTTTTTGTGAATTTAGGTATTTGGTACAGTTCCTTTTCTGAAAATGTCTTTTTTACTTGATAGGTGAACATTGCACATTAGAAAACTTACCTTTTTTATTATGTTTTTTTTTCCCTTCAGAAAGAGTTTTGGAAAGAGTACACCAGAGGACATGGGGACTCAAGCTCGGACAGCAACTGGTATCCGTTTTACCTGGCCTTCCCTTTAATCACAGTCTTCTTTGTTGTTGCTCTGGTTCTCCTGCTATTGTGGAAGTGTGTATTCAGAAACAAAGCATGCCGAAGAACTGCCTATGCCACCAGAGGTGCCAGAGAAAATACGGCTGAGACTGGAGATAGTGAAGGAGTTTCTAGTCATGCTCAGCAGCACTCTAATATGTTGTGTGCAATGGAGGATGGTTTTGAAAGGACTGGGAACCCAAGTGGATTGATCGATTATGATGTACGGTCAGATACGCTGTCAGCTGGATTTTCTTCGAACTGTGACGCACCACCTTCTTATGAAGAAGCCACTGGAACAAGGGGTGTAAGAGTAAGTGAGCCACAACAAAGTCCCAATGAGCCACCGCCACAATACGAAGAAATAGCTACTTGTGCCTCTGTAATCACAATACCTCAAGAGGGGACAACCAGTCCTAAGTAGCATAGGAACATATTTTCTATTTTTTTTTATTGCAAATGAAGAATTTTTAAGTACAATAGCATTTGGCTCTGGACAGATTTTGACATTTTGTGATCTTTATTTTTTTTTCTTAAAGAGTATAAGAATGAACACTATATTCCCTGCAAGAACCGCTCAGATGAACAGATGAAGGGTCCATACTGCTTTTTAGATAAATACAGTGCACTGTATCGTTCTATTACACTAAAATTACAAAGTGCCGTATATTATTTAAAACAGTACTTCTTCTTCTTTTTTTTTTTTTTTTTTTCTTTTATTTTCTTTTAGTCTCACTGCAATACATTTGCCTGTGGGGATTATACTGATATTGCAATATAACCACTATTGACCTAACTACATTTTTAATGAGTTTGAATAAAATGCCTTTTTATTTTCACGTGTGCCTATTTTCCTTATTGATCTATTTTTCGAAACTGACATATACTAATAAGACCTCAAAATTTGTTATTTTCATTTAGTATTTATTAGTATGAGTTTACAGTTATTAAACTCATTTTGTGTGTGATAATGTTTGGCTGAAATCATCCATTCCTACTACTATCCTCAAGAAAGTATTCAGTGATGGCACAACAACCTACATGCACAAATTGGCTCAGTTCTACAGTAAATATAGGTGCCTTTTTTTTTCTTTTAGGTATAATCTGTGATAATTTTTTTTTTTTCAAATAAATATGTAACATTTTTAGTATCTTGCATTTTTATTATTTTTTTTCTGAACAATTCCATATTTGTTTATACTATTGACTTTTTTTTGTACAATGTAAATGGTTTTTATAGTTTTTAACCACTAGTATTTTACATTAACGATTGGTGTCTACTATTAATATTTGCTTCATAAGGTATGTCTTGTCATTTAAATAAAGCTTTCCTTGTTATGAGATTAAACCTGAACATTGGTCTTGGGTTTGAGTTGTTTTTTTTTTTTAATTTCCCTAAACACAGCTAGTTAATACTACCTACTTATTGCGCAATTGATAATTAGTTACTATACAGTCTAGGGCCTAACATACTTAAATTTGTGCCCACCCTTTCCACCAACCCATACTGACTGACAGCACAGCTATAAGCATACCACACAGGAAGGGTCTAACCCAAAAAAAAGCTAAGGAGGAATGGCCACATACAGGCGTAAAAATCAAACTCTGGATAGGCTTATTGATACAATACTTTTGTAACAAAGAAACTGGATACATAAAATTTTATACTATGTTACTCAAGGAAAATTGTCTCAACATAATCATGCAATGCAACCACTATGTCAGTTTTAATATTAAAGTGGTTACAAAGGCTAAAATTATTACTTTTTTTTTTTTTTTTTTTTTACTTTTTTAATGCATTCCGTGCATTAAGGTAAAAAAAAACTTCCATTCTTTGCTATTCCCCCCCCAAAAAAAAACAAAAAAAACCTGAGCTTCATTTGGTGCTGATCTTTGGAAGCCAAAGGCTTCTGCTGCTGTCAATCAAATCCAGTGATGAGGGAGCAAGGGGCTGGACAGAGCGTGCGTGTGTGTGTGTGTGTGTGTGTGTGTGTGTGCGTGTGTGTGTGTGTCTATAGGCACACACAGCCCCGCACAGGATATGGCACACAGAGAAGACTAGGAGTATTGGCGGGGGACCCTAAGAAGAAGAGATCAGGGCTGCTCTATGCAAAACCATTGCACAAACCAAGGAATTATTACGTTTATTTTTAAAACAAAAACTTTACAATCACTGTAAGGCTCAGTTCACACTAGCATTGAAAGCAGGTGTTTGAGGGGCGTTTTTAATGCTCAAACGCCTATGAAAATGATACACATGGCAGCACACATGTGCTGTTCACACAGAAGCATTGGCAGCGCAGCACGTCAAAATTGACGCCTCATGTTGAGTCAGGAGGAGTTGAAGCCTTTCAAGTCTATGGGAACATTCCTCAAACTCCTGGCAGGCGTTTGCGAAGGCATTAATACCATTAAGTTAATTATAGGTGTTTGTGGTGCAATTTTTTTTTTTTTTTTTTTTTGTTTTTTTTACCGCTTGTAAAATGCTGTCTAGTGCTATAAGGGCGTTTGGGAAGTCAAGTGAGAACAAGCCCTAAGGCAGGCCATAGACTGCTGTTTATTGGCCAACTTTTCGGCCGATAAACGAGAAATTGGTCAGCCCCGTTGCCGATGCTGCCACCCATATCCACGAAAAATGACTGTTTTTCATGGATTTTCCAGCATGACCGATAAAAATAAATGAGGAGATCCATGAAAAACGGCCGACGGGCTGGCCCCACCCACTAACAGCGTGATTATCGGCCGATTTTTCGTGCAGGCGAAAATTCGGCCGATAAACGACCCATCTATGGCCTGCATAAGGGAGGTTTATTTTAAACCCACTGGGTTGTTACAAGGATTGTATGGTCTTTGTGGCTATCATTTCCTTAAAACCTAGCTAAATGTACCACAGCTCTAATAAGCAGATCTGTTTTGCCAAGACATTTCTGAGCTGGTTTTGATCCCTTCTTAGTCCTTTGGTTACTTTAGTGAGCCAATAAGGAGTCGCAGTATACAAAGGGGAGCACGCCCAACATCAACATTCTCCTCAACGGATGAGAATTGCATATCAGAATCCAGTGAAGAAAGAATTCATACTTGTGACTAAGCATTACAGTAGCATACATGCTTGTGTGATGCACAATGCTTCATCAAATTTTAGATCTAATTTGATCTCTGCACTTTTGTTCCCACTCAAATACCAAATAGTGTTACCATTCTATTCTCTGTAATGAATGGAGGTTGTCATGAGATTCAGATTTGTCTGTTTATTTATTATAGGTACTTATATAGCGCCATCGATTTTACATATATATATATATATATATATATATATATATATATATATATATTCACATCAGTCCCTAACCCTCAAGGGGTGTACAATCTAAAGTCCCTAACTTACATTCATACATACATATACTAGGGACAATTTAGACAGCCAATTAACCTACCAGTGTTTTTTTGTAGTGTAGGAGGAAACCGGAGTACCAAAAGGAAACCCACGCGGGCACAGGGAGAACATGCAAACTCCAGGCAGGTGGTGCCATGGTTGGGATTTGAACCAATGACCCTAGTACTGCCAGGTGGAAGTGCTAACCATTTAGCCACTGTGCTGCTGGAATTAGCAACAAATTTCCAGGTATCGTTTTTGACTCAGCCAGGTGAATTTTGGGTGAATCAAAATTTTGACTCCTATCCACAACGCCCTGTACACCCTGGGCGGCAGACTTACAATACTTGATAATAGGGGCAGGGGACTGGATAACCAATCCCCACACTATAAAGGGTGGACTGAGAGCAGCCATAGGGGGTTATTTATGCAAACTGCATGGTGCAACTCTGTTTAGAAGCCAATCGGCTTCCAGGTTTTATTGTCAAAGCTTAATTGAACAAGCTGAAGTTAGAAGCTGATTGGCTACCATGCACAACTCCACTAGATTCTGAGTGCTCCAGTTTTAGTAAATCTCCCCTTAGTTGTCAGTGTATATAAACTGCTGTAAGGGGAAATCACAGATTACATAAAGAGAGATTAGGGTTAGTTAGCGAACTCTACTTCAGTAAATTTCAGTGGCGGGTGCTTTTTTGTGTGCCTCCTGTGATTGCATTTCTTCACCAAATCCAAAAGTTCTTATTCGATTATTGCTAGCTCTTGTGCAGTCACCCTTTTTTTTTTTTTTTTTTTTTTTTAATTCTGTAATTCAAGTTTTTGTTTTTGATATGAGAGCAGCAGTCTCTGTTTGCGGCTGACCTGTCCAACACAAAACTTCTTTTTTACATTTTGCCCACAATCGGTTCCAGTAGATGTGCTTTGTTTACAGCACCCTGCTGCATTATTTAATAGAAAAAGTTAAAAAATGAAAGTATGAAAACAGGGTGCACCCAAACGACCTCAGACTTCTTCTCATAAAAGTTAGGCATGGACCAGGAAAAAGCTAAAAACAATATACAGACCTAAAGACAGAGTCAGCGGTGCTGGGCCTGAAGGTTGGGGGCAACTAACTTTACAGGTCCTACATGACAAACTGGTGGTATAGCGGCACACAGCAGCAGAAGGCACAGCTGCATTTCCTTGGCTAGAGTGACAGGACCAACAGCACGCATAAAGATGTAATTGACTGGCTTTTGAAGCCTGTGCCATCTTCCACCTTTCAGCCAGCAACCAAGCTACGAGGAGTGGCACAATTCTTCAAGCACTCTATATTTGGCTTGCTGCAGAAGCTGCATCAATGCATAAGGGCTCATGTACACTGCAGCTGATAAACTCACGTTTAGGAGCTGTTCAGCATTTTTTACAGCAGCCCCTGAACTCGCCCTAATGTTTTGCTGTGTGTCCATGTACACGTAGTCATTTACAGGCAGTTGAGTTTACAGTTGTTTATTTGAATACAGAAAACTTGCGTTCAGCAGTAGATTTTATCAGCGTTGCAAACGCTTGTAAAACGCGGCTAACCTTGTTTATAAGCATTTGCGTTTCAAACATTTTTTTAACTCTTCCATTTCCAGATGCTGCCCAGAGCCTTTTTTCATTATGAAAAATGCATGCAAAGCGTTTTCCCCCCCGGTACTCAAATGGACCAGGTGCACCATACTTTGAGGTTTCGCATGAAAAAAAATATGTTAGACGCTGCTGCAATCATTTCTGCACAGAAATGAGCTGGAGCACATCCAAACACCACAAAAAAAAAAAAAAACAGCTAATCTCAACAAATACTGCTCTCTCTTTGCTTCTGCTCTCTCTCTATCTCAAAATGTCTGAAATAGTTAATTTTTTACTGTTTTTTTCAGTGCATTCTGGGCATTTGGGAAGGTCTCCTGAGGTTATCTTTACAAAACACTTCTAATCGCAAACGCTCATAAACACGGTATGCAAACACTGCTAAACAGACATTTTTTAACCTACATTTTCCAGCAGTTAGTTTCCATCATTCAGAAGTGTCCCGT